CATACCAGGTAGTAGCAAACCAGACAATCATCATAAAGACAATCATCTCAACTATAATCAACTACTAGTGGGCCGGCCTTGGTGCCTTAGACCCACTTCTACTGGAAGGTAACTCACCTCGATGTCGTGTAGTATCTGCACAGTCCTCGGCACGGAAATCAACTCGTCTCTACCCCTCAATACCTACACAACGACCTTTCTCGATTACTATTACATACTCATAACCCTTACAAGGGTTAACCCAAATCCAAGTCAAAGTCAAGGTCAAACCCTGGTCAAAGTCCACTTCTGATTGACTCGACTCGCCGAGTTGGTCCACCAACTCGCCGAGTCCCCATGTTCACCTACTGCCATATTCCCGTCCTTACTCGTCGAGTCTAGCAAGAGTTCGACGAGTTCTCCTTCAACAACACATCTGACTGTCTTCAACCGACTCGCCGAGTTCGTTCTTGAACTCATCGAGTTCATCTTCATCCGAATGAATGAGTCTAGTCTATGACTCGTCTAGTTCTCCTTGAACTCGTCGAGTCTGTATTCATGAGGTTGGGACATTGCCTTGAACTCGCCGAGTCTGTTCATCCACTCGCCGAGTCCCATGATTTCATGGTCCAAAACAAACCCCCTAGTAGGTTGAGTGTTCCTTCAACTCAACCAAAACCATTTCCAGAAGACGTTTGTGGAAAAATGCGTCTCGACTCGCCGAGTCACCCAAGCGACTCGCCGAGTCCCTCCTTGTCCAAAACTATACAGTCGATTACAATGGGTCTTAATGCATCAAAACCATAGATCTGTCCTCTTAGGGTCCATTTCATAAGTAAAGCTACAAACTTGATGTCCATGCATGGAGTTTTTGGCTCCAAAATCCATAAAAAGGGGTTTATAAGATGCATGGGCTTCCCATGGCCATAAAGTTGGCACCTTTATGCCATGGGAACCCTCAATGGTTCAAGATCTGAAGTGTAACTCCACGATACACACTCAATCCGAAAATGTCCTTAGAAATGCCCCAAAATGATAAGATCTAAGCTCTAGAGGAGATCTATCAAATGAGAAGTCAAGGTTGAAGCTTTTTACCTTGAATGGGATGGAAATAACTCATAACCTATGGATCTACTAGTCCTCTCTTGATCTTCCAAGCTTCCTTCTCTTCTTCAAACTTCAAACCACCACAAAACACACAAAAATGGCTCAAGATCACTCAAACAAGATTAGAGTTTTAATCTAGGGCTTTTCTGAGTTGGGAGGGGTGATGGAGGCTGGTTTGGGACGAGATAAAGTGTTTAAATATGGTGCAAACCCTAAATATTAGGCCTTTGTCCAGACAACTCCTACTCGTCGAGTCGGTCCCCCGACTCGTCGAGTAGATCATTAAAACCCCCGCATAATGTCGATTCTACTCGATGAGTTGGGCCCCCAACTCGCCGAGTCCCAGAGTATAATACCAAATACTTGAATTTAAATACGTACCAGGAACCAGGTGTTACATCAGGTGTTTCTGAAATTTTCTTTTCCGACACAATATTTAAAGAGGATGAAGTTTAAAGAATTCATACCAAAATAGTTAATAGAGCTTATTAAGCTCCTTTGTAATCTAACGTATCACATGGACTATTATGCTCCTAACAAATATCGTATGTTAGTTTGGGCATTCATATATGTATGTCCATGTATAAACACATGATTCGTTTAGACTGCATCTTAATTCTTTTTTTAAATATTATTTTCGGAATTTGAATTAACTAAAAAAAAATAAAAAATAAATAAAATAAATAAAAAAATGCGTCTCACGGTCTCACAAAATTAGGCCGTCTCACATGAACCTAACCCTATATAATATATATATATATATATATATATATATATATATATCTATATATATATATATATATCTATATATATGTGTGTGTGTGTGTGTGTGTGTTAAATTATTAACAATCTGTTTTAGTTCATTACGCTCAAAATATTTATGTTATTGGAGCCTTATTTGTGTAATCATTATGAAATCAATCAAATAGTTGGAATGTTAATATTTAGATCATAGTTCTTCAATTATGCAATATTGATTCTGTCTTTAAGATTCATAACTTATCATGAATTTTATAGATTTAAATAGATTACATATCATCATTCCCTTTTCATTTAACTTTATAATTTTCTTTCACTGCAATGCTACAATGCACTAACTTTATAAAAGTTAAATGCAACAAGTTCATAGAAAAATCAATTATTTGTGATTTTTTTTTCCAATCGAATAGTTTTTTTTTTGAACAAAAAAAGAACATATAGATTAAAAAGAAATTAGATAGGAATGTTAATATTTAGATCCATTATTTATGAATAATTTAATAAAATTGAAATCTATGTTTATTGAAAGCCAATGTTATATCGATTATGGTTGAATTTAATCTATGTTGATTACATCTTCCTTAATCTATAATAAACTATCCATTATAGATGCTATTATTACTTATTACCATGAACAATTGTTGGAAATAATATTTAACCATGTTTTTAATAATATAAAAGATTATAAATTAGAAAATCTCCAAAAAAAGTCCTAATATTTTATTATAATTTACGAAAAAATCTCAAACTAAAATTTGTTTATACAAAAGTATGAATTACCAGTAAAATTAATGATTTGACCATTTTCCCGGTTTACCGGTTTCATTACTTACCTGGTTCCATTAAAATCTCATTATTTTACCATAATTTACGAATAAGTCTCAAACTAAAATTTAATGATGATTGCCTTTTTTTCTCTATATTTTTACCGGTTTCATTGCTGACTTGGACGTCTAGTTATTAAATGAGCTGATAAGATGGATATGATGAGTTATATAATGTTACGTTGAATGACTAGGCTTCAATGTCAACAATAAAACCGGTAAAATATATGTTAAATTGAGAAAATGACCAAATCATCACTAAATTTTAGTTTTGAGACTTATTCATAAATTGAGATAAAATAATGAGACTTTAATGGAAGTATGTAAGTAATAAAACCGGAAGAAATAGACCAAATTATCATTTTTACCAGTAATTTCATACTTTTTCGTAATAAATTTTAGTTTGTAGTTTTTTTATAAACCAAGATAAAATATTAGGAGTTCCTTATAATATCTATAATTTGAAAGATTAATAGACTCTTTGGAACCTTCGATGATCCCATTGACAATCTTGATTCTGATTTTCGTATTTATAGCGGGTAAAACTCCATTACGCGTTTAATGGCTATAATTTTTCCAATCACTCCGTTCATGTAGCTTTCTTCCCCCTCGCATCATCATATGGAAATCCTATTCAACCCATAATCCTCGCCAAAATGGCCGCATATATTTCACCAAACATAACTCTTCTTGTTCATTCTCAATTTAATTTTCTCCCTGATTCAACACTCTTCTCTTCTCCCCCTTTCGCCTTTACTTGAAGAATGATAAACTTACAATCTTAAGAGTTAAGCCTGTTAATATGGCAACCCATAAGCTGTTTACCCTAAAAAGCTCGGGGTAGTGCTCCATGACATACCCTAACTCCGGTTGCTTAAAAGATAAACATATATGACTATTTAGCACACCTGCCTTACTTCTAACCATTTGTAATAACATTTCATGGTCAATGTTAGGAGGAAGATTTAAACCATAGTTTTTCACATTATTTCTAACGTAAACCTCATCTCCATTAACTAACTGTCAAGACCCTCTCGTACACAAAATAATAAAACTCATTTTACAAATTACTCTCCACAAACACAATGAAAAAACAACTTCTACTGGTAATTGAAACTCACAAACTCTCAAAAACCCACTAAAATACGTCTATAACTTCTATAACTGATCCGCAGAGGTGTATACTAATCCGCAGAGGTGTACACAGATCCGTAGAGGTGTATATTGATCCGCAGAGGTGTACACTGATCCGCATAGGTGTACACAGATCTGCAGAGGTGTATACTGATCCGCAGAGGTGTACACTGATCCGCTGATAACAGTTATGTGGACTCATATTAAACATAAGTTCATTATTTGTAATCTTTTTTTGTCAAATTTTTTACATAAATATAAGGTATTAGTGTATTAAAAAAATTAATATTAATAAACGAAAACAAAAAATAGAAAAAACGAAAAAATAAAAATTAAAAATTAAAAAACTCAAGATCCGCAGAGGTGTTTCGGTTCCTCAGAGGCAAACGTATTACATAAAATATTTCATTATTTTTAACCTTTTTTTGTAGAATTTTTTACATAATAATCACATAAGGTACTAGTGTATTTAAAAAAAATAATATTAATAAACGAAAATGAACGCAAAAAAACGAAAAAACGAAAAAAAAATTTAAAAAATCAAAAAACAAAGATTTCGCAGGGCTGTAGAGGATCCGCAGAGCATTTAATGGATCCGCAGAGGTGCTCTGTGGATCCTTTGGTCATTTTCCAAAATATGTTTTTCCTTGGTTATTTTCTTCAAACCAACCTCATTTTTTTTGTTATTGTCCGAATGTTCTCTAAAATATTAGTAGTTGCTTATATAATCTATAATTTGAAAGATTAAGGCTGTGTTTGGCGTGCCACAGCTAGCTGATAAGCTAGGTTATTTTTCGAGCTTTTTTATGTTGTCGTGTTTGGTAAGCCAAAAAGTAGCTTATAAGCTAGCTTTTTGAAAAGCTACTTAGACTAGCTTTTTATGAGCTTTTTTAAAATTTTCCAAATACACCCCTTAATTAATTATAGAAACACATACTATTACATGTCCTTTTAGTTAATTTTATATATTTCAGCTAGCTTTTCAGCTAGTTTTACCAAACATTATTTTTTATCAGCTAGTTTTCTAGCTATCAGCTAGTTTTTTATTTAACAGCTAGTTTTTCAGCTATCCGCTAGCTTTTCAAGGCCAAAATATAGCCTAGTACTCTTTGGAACCTTCGATGATCCCATTGACAATCTTGATTCTAATTTTCGTATTTATAGCGGGTAAAACTCCATTACGCGTTTAATGGCTATAATTTTTCCAATCACTCCGTTCATGTAGCTTTCTTCCCCCTCGCATCATCATATGGAAATCCTATTCAACCCACAACCCTCGCCAACATGGCCGCATATATTTCACCAAACATAACTCTTCTTGTCCATTCTCAATTTAATTTCCTCCCTGATTCAGCACTCTTCTCTTCCCCCCCTTTCGCCTTTACTTGAAGAATGATAAACTTACAATCTTAAGAGTTAAGCCTGTTAATATGGCGACCCATAAGCTGTTTACCCAAAAATCCTACTTTAATTTCGTGGATGAACCAGTTACAGCTGATTTGGTGCAGAGAACGATGAAGAAAATTTGTAGGTTTCTGTGGGTTTTGCTATGCAATTTCGTTTTGTTTTTGTCTGGGCATTTGATCAAACACCTGGCGAGGTGAGTTTCAAGTTCGGAACTTTTTATACTGTTTTTGCTTTTCGTTCATTTGATTTTGGAATAAATCGGTGGGTTGTTTTGCAGATCACGAACTGATAATGATCACGAGAATAATCTGGATACAACTGTGGTTTTTAATGAGCTAGAAGAACCAACTGCTCGAAGCTCCCGTGGTTCGAACTTTATTGGGTTCGATGAAGACTACAAATCTGAGTTTACTTTCGGGTTTCAGTTTCAGATGAAAGAAGAAGATTTTATGAGCCATAAAGGCGTCACCGAGGCAAAATCACGGAATACAGGGGAAGCTTTCATGGAGAATGAGCTGAAAACGACGACGAACACAAGTAAGTACCAATTCGTGTCTGTTCAAGATTTTAGCGAGTTTGTTGCAGCGCCAGAATCAGCTAGCTTTACTGTTCATGAATCGGTAATGGAAGACGATTTCATCATTAAAGATAAGGGAATAAGTAAAAAAGACTTTAGCGACTTAGAAGTCGAACAAGAGCCTAAAATCAAAGATGAACAGAATGGATGGAATGAAACTTCAAATCTTCCATCAAATGAAAAAGTTGACGATTTCATAGAACCAGAGGTTTCTTCTACTCAAATTCATCAAAGCGCGGATCTTCCAAATCCAGATTCCATCAATTCTGAAGAAAAATCGAAGGAATCTGTTAAATTACATGTGAAAAATCAATTGAATTCGGGTAAAAATGGAGTTTCTGAGCCGGAGAAAGTTAATTGGTTGGGGGATTTTTTCATGAGAAACAATAGTTTTTCTTATGGAGTTCAACTATCTCAAGAACACGAATCTGATTCTCTAGATTCCCATCTGGAATCATATGATTCCAGTAATGAGTTTATCTCAATTAATCCTCAAGATGTTGAAATCATCAATGAAAAAGAGTCAGACAGTTTGAATCCAGAAGAAATTGACGATGATTACATTGAATTCGAACCCAATCTCAAAGATCATGTGAACATACAACAACGGAATCTTGATTCCAACGCCAAACATGAATCAGATGCTTTTATCAAAAAGATGGAATCACAAACTGAAGTCATGAAAACATGGGAATTGGATTTGGAAGAAGAAGATGAAGCTGATGTGTTACTTGAACATCAAGAATTGATTGGTCAGATGAAAATGGAATTAAAGAATGCAAGAACAGGAGGTCTACCCACAATTCTTGAAGAATCTGAAACTCCAAGAATGAAAGAAGATTTAAAACCTTTAAAAATGGATGAGAAACTGGAACACAGAGATTTAATGGCAGAAATTCAGAAGTTCTACAAAAGCTACAATGAAAAAATGCGAAAATTAGATGTCTTGAATTACCAAACATTGCAGGCTATAAGTAAGTTCTCTAATCATATCGCCATTTTTCATCAAGAACATGTTTATAAATATTAAATTCCAATTTTATTTCCAATTTTAACACCAAAATATTATTCTTCTACATTCTAATTATCTCACAAGAACTATTTCTTTCAGGATCCAATACAAAAAGTCATTGGGTTGACAAAGTTTAATTTTTTAAGATTATAACTTTGACCAACTTTTGGTAAACAAAAGAAAACGTGTGCCCAAAAGAAATTTGTTAAAATTTTAATTTTAATATAGTGCAAATTAAAAAAAAAAAAAAAAAAACCATTATATTTTGTCTTATTTTGCTGTTTAACAACCAATATTTTATCTTTCCAATCAAACCAAAAAAGTTTCATACACTTTTCCAAACTAATAATTTTGACATAATATAATCGTTTCAAAATGGTTAATTTGAAAAATATCCGAAACTTTTCTGATTTAATTGGAAAAAATAATAAAGTATCAATAGATAAATTGCAAAGCTGACATAAACATATATATAATTTTTTTTTTTTTAATTTGCCATTTAATAAATACATTGATTACAAATTGCTCCTATAGAGGATCTTTGTTTTAAAATTGATTGAGGAGTGGGTCACCATATCTTTTTAAACCATCAATATATATTTGGTAACAACTATCAAGATCCTTATTCTGTAGAAACAAGAATTTTTCACTAAATTGTGATCACTAGTGTGAGGAATATTTTATTGGTCAACAATTATCTTGTGACAATCAAGAAATGCTTTTTACACATATTCCCCACTTGATCTAACTTTTATAAATACCCTTTCATTAGTTTAATGAATATATATGGCTTTTTGTACCCACTAATTATGGCTCTAAAAGTCAAGTCACAAGTGTAACATGAATACTCACTTGTATTGTAAACGGTTTAAAATGAAATTACCCATTTACCCATTTAGTAAACACGACATTTATTGTTGGTGTCATTCATACGAAAAGTTAAAAAGTACATAGTCGGCATGCGTATTACTGTGGAGATGGGTGAAAAGGACTATCTTATCATGAAGAATTCAAAGAAAAAAAAAACCAATCTTTTGTTTGGTGAATTAATGATGCTGAAAAATTAGGTGTACTACGATATAATTTTTTCGAAAAAAAAGAAATTGTATTTTAAACAGTTGGCTTTCAAATTAAATATTTTTTTATGGGTATTGGTGGGGGTGTCTCCATCACATAACATCAAAAGCTGCCCATTACTCGTGTTTCACATAAATCACTTTACATGAGTCACCTTGCATAATCTTTAAAATGAATTTCAACGACAATAATGATGCATAAGAGATGACATGATATGATATGAACTTATCGGATAGAAAAACATTCCAATGGCATTTTCTCAATAATAAGGACAAGGAGGGTATTTTTGTCTTTTGACCATATGAGAGATCCATATGATGAGTAGTAACTAAACTTCGTCTCATTTCATTAGGGTAACACTACTTTTTTTTCTCTCACGTTTTATTTTTTGTGACACTGAGATACTGTATTTTTGTAATGTATACATCTTAAAAAACGTCTCTTCGGTTTATTAGTTTTGGGTAAAACATGTGAATTGTACGTTTGGTTTGGGCCAATTTGTGTGTTCCGTCCTTTTTTTTCTTTCGATTATTTTATAACTCAGAAACATTGAATTTAACAAAAGATAATACAAAAGGATAAAATAGTCATTTTTATAATTTAGTACAGTAATTCAGAGGTTCCAACCGAACAACATATTAAAAATTCAGATCCTGCCAAACAACCTCATAGTGTACCATACTATTTGTTCCATTGATAGTGTACCGGTACTTTTTGACTATTTGTGTCGGATGGTATTTGTATGTTTTTGTGTCAGATGGTACCTGTACCTGTACTTTTTGTTTTATTGACATCAGTAGTGCAAGTACTATTTGACACAAAAGACAGGGTTTTTAGTGACATGTATCGCGACATGAAACATTGTTTTTTGTTTACTACAGATTTTCTACGAATGAAGCATCCGGACCAAATGAACACGGGAGAAAACAACACATCACTCTCAGCCCTCAAATCGGTTCTTTTACCAAGTTTATGGCCATGTAAATTAAGAAGAATATACGCGGACCCCACACTAAAATCCATCACCGAATTAAATAAAGATTTAGAAATTGTGTATGTTGGACAAGCTTGTCTCTCATGGGAGATTCTTCATTGGCAATACAAAAAATCGAAAGAATTACAGTTATATGATCCTCAAGGCTACCGATCTTATAATCAAGTTGCAATTGAGTTTCAACAATTTTATGTTCTTCTTAGAAGGTTTACAGAAGATGAATTGTTTCAAGGGCCTAGAGTTCTTAATTACACCAAACAAAGATGCATCCTTAAAGGCCTTCTTCAAGTTCCAGCCATTAGAGGTAACTTTTAATGTCTTGGAGTTTAATTTTTTTATGTTTTTTTTTTGTTTGGTTGGATTGAATGGAATGAGATAGGTAATGGAATAAGGAAAACAAACAACTTCTTTTCATTCAATGGAATCGGAATCAACCATTCCATTCTTTCGGCGATTCCAAAATACCAAACACTTCCTTAAATCAAGATTGTTTCTTGTTTCTTATTGTAGATGACAATTTAAAAGAAAAGAAGGCAAGAAAAGAAGACAAAGAAGATATAGTTTCAATATCAACAATGGCAACCATGATCAAGGAATCAATGACAGTATTTTGGGAATTTCTTCACACCGATAAAGACACCACCAATTTGTTCTTAACAATAATCCTTCAAGGAACCAAAGCACATCTTCAAGACCCTAATGATTCCACCCTTTTCATGGAAATCAAAACAAATCATCAAAAGGTTTGTATTTGTATATTACATTTTACAATTTACACCTTGTAGGTTTGTACTATGTGCATTTACGTTTGTACATTCTATAAAACGTTTTGTGGGTGTTTTGTAGAAGGAAAGAAGGCTCAAGGACATGCTAAGAACAGGAAATTGCATAGTGAAAAAGTTTCAAAAACATCAAGAAACAATATTGGATCAACATATGTTTGTTTCACAAGTGGAATTGAGATTGGTTTCAAGAGTTTTAAGCTTGCCAAGATTGAGTAGAGATCAATTGCTTTGGTGTCAAAGTAAGTTGAACAATATCAAGTTTGTAGATCGAAAGGTTGAAGTTGAAGATAGTTTGTTTTTGCTTTTTCCATGTTGAAAAATGTAAGTTTTGAGATATATATGAGTAGAGATCCCACTTCTTTATCTATGATCCATGTTTTTTTGTTGAAGGAAGATGAAGAAGTAGTGGATTTAGTAAAAGTTTATGTGAGTAAAAACAGAAATTTTGGTTAAGTTGTTTTGGAGGGTTGAAGGTGTATTTATGTATGCTATATATAATATATAGATTATAAAATCTTTTATTAATGAATCTTTGTTATAAACTTAATGACTATTTTTTATGCAAACATGAGTACGACTTGAATTCAAAAGTTGAATTCTACTCCTTATATGTTTTGAGTTTTGTATTTGTACTTAAACTTTGTTGAATTCGGCCCTATCAAGGTAGAATTAAGTTCAAACTCAAATTATTTAATAAGCGATTATCTTGTTTGTCCATTTGTTTTTTGGGTTATTTATTTTTGGGGCTATTTATATGAACATCTTGGTGTGATTATTTTGATTATGACAAATTTGTTTACACTCTTAATTTATAAAATTCATCACTGTTAGCATTAGCATGCATGCCCATCGGGGTTTTTCTACGCGTATAGGGTTGGGGTCTTTTTACACTTTTTTTAGTTGTTCTAAACTTCTGCATGTTGGACTAGATTCCGGTTTTGACCGAATATTTTTAGACCGGTTCAAACTCAACCATGCTGCCATACTGGGCTTTACTAAACTTATTACTTGCTTTGTAATGTGACTAAGGAGAATTTTGTTTATAAATACCTATGTAATTATCTTTTTTTGTAAGTTTATTAATAAACTAAACAATAATGCATTTTCTTGTAAACTATTTGTAATCTATAGAGAATACTGCAATTTTGGTCCATGTCGATTTATGTTGTTATAGTCTTTTTGGTCTTTTTCAGTAGGTTAATCAAAATAATGTTTTTTTTTTAAATTATAAAACAAAGTAATTTTTTGTTTACAAGTTAAGAATATTAATAAAACAATGCATTGTTTTATTGTTTTTTTGGTAATTTACAATTTTTACTGAGCAATAACTATAACAATTTAAAAAAAAAGGGGGGGGGGGGGATTAAAGTGGCTAGAAAGATCAATCGATCAAATAGACCATGACATCTCGGGATTGGATCAGTTCGAACCGAGTTTTTTTAAAGCCTGAAAATGTTGTACCAGTGAATCCAAAGTTAAACTACTCCAACTTTTCATCCTCGGACTACATATATATCATATTTAATTGACAAAATTACATAAATGGTACTTGTGGTTGACAAAATCGATCAAATCTAGTCCGTATGACAAATTTTTTGCATAAATGATCCCCGTGGTTTCAAAATCGTGTAAAGACGGTCATTTTGGCTAACGGTGTTAACTTTTTTTAGTTAAATCACATGTGAAATTATCCATTTACCCTTCATGCCATAGGGACCATTTATATAATTTTTTCCCGTCACAAGGACCATTTATGTAATTTTTTCTATTATTTATTATTCTTTTTATTTAATTTAGACAAAATTTCACAAATGGTCCTTTTTATTTTCAGTTTTTCCCTTAAATAGTCCTTATGAATATTTTTTTTGCATGTATAGTCCCTTTTTGGATCAAACCTTGCACGTAATTAGTCCTTATGTTGGATGTATATCTATATGTGTCGTTACCGTGCCTCATGTGCCTTGCACACAAGGGCATTTTCGTCATTTCATCTGGGTCATCTTGTATGTATAGGGTGACAGAGGGGTTAAGTTTCAGACAACAATAATCATTAACCTTCCCTCTCATTGCTCCAAGAAAACTCTTGATCAACCCCTTTTCTTCAAGACATTGTGTCGATTTTCAGCTTATCGGCTCCATAGCAAGTAATTCTAGGGTTTCAACGTATAATGGTGCTCACTCTGTGGAGTTTACGTCCACGATATACTCAACCACCTGGCATATATAAAGAGCATGGTAAGACATGAGCTTATAATGCTAGCGTTGACCAAATGATGTATGTATTTGTTTTCTCTTTCTATTTATAACATCTATTTTTTAAATATTCATTTCAGGTTCTGTAGCATCCCTTTGCACATTCAAGATAAACCATGGGGTTTAGTTCACTAATACACTTATTGGAAGGTCTTACATTGAAGGGCTAGTGGATCACTTTGATTTTGTGGACATGTATGTGTTTTCATTCCACGAGTTAGATGATATGTTGGCAGTTTTAGGGTACAATGATGGAGGTATAATTTTCTAACATTTCATGATCCCATAGACTGACTTTGATAGTGGGTTGTTATCCATTGGAATTTATCAAGAAGCCAATCAGTTGGCAAGGTATGTGCCCGATCACAATGAAATTAATTTGTACATTAAGCATGAGAACAATAGAATAGTCTCATACTTTAAGTCCCTAGTAAAGGTTCGTATTAAGGAAATTGAAGGGGATGCTTCTCCTGAGTTGAATAGGGTTAGAATTAAAAGGAAAAAAATAGTTGATTCATGAAGTAAAAAGTTGGACTTAAATGAGCCAATTGATGCCTCAAAGTTGGTTATTCAATATGGACCTACAGTCAACCACAAAGACTTATTTGCTAATTTTGATCCCTTTTAGGGGGGGTCAGATTGAGGATTACCAAGTACTGGGGGATGTTGATGAAGGGGATGATTACCAAACAATGGGGGATGTAGATGCAAAATAATATATGAATGAGAACATATAGGAATAATATCATGTTATGGAAGAAGATACTCTGAGTGTTTGTAATGTGAGTAAGGGTGGTAGGAGTGAGGATGGTGGGAGTGACGGTAGTAGGACAGATGATAGTGAGGATAATAACTTCATTGTGGACTTAGAAAATCAAGTAAATGAGGTTGATGTTGACATGAGAGATTTTCATATATATGTGGATGAAGATCTTGAGTGGACTCCAAAAACATTCAATAAAGCAAGTGGGAGTCATATTCAGAAGCCCGAGGGTGAAGATTTGGAGGTCATAGACCCATATTCATTTGAATCACGAATTATAGATGGAGGAGAGGATGTTGAGAGATTTAAGTAAGGTAAAACCATGTTCTCAAGGTGAAGTTTATGAACCTACTTTTAAGTTGGGATATAAGTTTAAAACAAAGAAATATGTAAAAGATTATGTCAACAAGCATGCAGTAGATACTAAGAGGGATATATATTTTGAAAAAAATGATATCCAAGTTGAAACTAATCCCATGATTCCAGTTAGGGCACTTCAAGAGGATCTTATCCAAAAATTTGAGATGAACATGTCAAGAATAAGGTACATAGGGCAAAGAAATTGGCTCAAAAGAATGTATTTGGGGATAAGCCAATCATATATTGTTTGGAGTTTATTAGAGAGTATTTGATGAAAATAATTTGCAATGTTCAAAAAGATATTGATAGATGCCATTCTCCACTCACACCTAAATCTACTAGTTTAGTTGAAGAAATAAAAAAACAAGAACATAAGAACACGTTTATTTTCAATGGTGTTGATAAAACTCTGGTGACTGGTCAATGGGGTGATCAATTTATTGTTAATTTGGAGGAAAAAACATTTACTTGTAGGCATTGGAAAATTTCATAAATGTTGTGTTTACATGATATAAGTGCAATATAGGATAAAATTGGACATGGAGAAAAGAATATGCATGAATTGGAAAAAGTGGGTCCGCCCATGTTATTGGCTAGTTACATAGACAGATTTATACAAACACAAAATTGAACCATTAATGGTTGATTAATGTGGCCAAAATCACCACGCCCTACCATTTTGACAGCACTCAAGCATGTGCCTCGGGTAATGTCAGTTTAATTATTATAATTACACTTATTCATTGACATTAACTCATTATATCTACAGTTACAGGTAAGTAGGCCCAAAAAGAAAAGAAAGAGGGCATATGATGAACCTGATAGCCAAGGGAATAAGTTGTTTAAGAAGTGGATGATTGTCACATGTGCAAAGTGCCACAACAAAGGTCACAATTAATCTACTTATAAAGAACAAGGTGACATTACTGGGAAAAAATATGGAGCAAAGTAGAAAGTGGTTGCAAAGCATAAGGGGAAGGTTACGTGAAGTGGTGTGTTTGTGTTCGTGTTAAGTCATTTGTGTTAGGTATTTTGATGTAAAACTTTTCACTATGCTTTGTAGTTGCTTAATGGTTATGTCAACTATAATAATCAGTAGTAACTTTGGCATACTTTTTTTGTATGGTCATGCATGTTGACCTTGAATCATTGTAAACTTAGGTTGACCATGAAATAGTTAAAGGATTTTGAGCATTCTAACACTCCTAAGGTGTACATGCAACCCTAGAAACCTTGGATCTATGTTTTACTAAGATACATGCAAATTTGATTTTCCAAGGTTCTTAACCTAACTAGCATGGCATGGGGAACTTTGAAACATAAAAGCTAATAGGAGAACATATGTAACATCCCAATTTTCAAGTCCAAAAATTTCTTTTAATTAATTGACTCATAAAAACATTCGTAAGAAAATACTGTGAAAACACATCATCTCATAAAACCATGCATCATGTCTGAAAACCCAAGTCATAAAATAATAACATATCAGAGTACAATCCCAGAAAACTCCATGTGGAAATAATGTGTGTAGGATGCGATGCTACGTCGCCGACTCCTTCCCCTTAGACGAAGAGGTACCTGAAACCAAAACCGAAACCGTAAGCACAAAGCTTAGTGAGTTCCCCCATCATACCACATACCATACAATATCATCGGTATCTTTCAACCGGTAATCATCGTCGGTATCTTTCAACCGGTAATCATCATCGGTATCTTTCAACCGGTAGCTGTCATCGGTATCTTTCAACCGGTAATCATCATCGGTATCTTTCAACCGGTAGCTATCATCGGTATCTTTCAACCGGTAACTGGGGACTATTCCACCCCCTACTACTAGCATACAACAACAAGATGTAAGCATACAGTCAGGCATATCCGGGTACTGACCTACCCTTTCGGTCCTAAGGACTGCTGTCAGGGAAACTAATCCCTATTATACACGTAACATGTGACATCCCCATTTTCACGGCCAGAAAAGACCGATTTTGTTTATGCTTGTTTGAAAATCAGAGTAACATTTTAAATAAAAGTGTTGCGGAATTTGTTCCCAAAATAAAATTATGATAAAGACTTATCAAAGCATTTCCGTAGAAATGTATTT